AGCCATCTATTCTTCAAATCTTCAAACATCAAAACCCATAGTGTCACCAAGCCCCTCGAAAGCTTTATAATTTCGTCACTTTCCACACAGACCACATAAGTGTAATTAGGGATTAAATCAGCAAGAATGCAGTGTCCCATTGAGGTACTTTCAAGCCCAAATCTCATCTTTGACAGAACCCAAGCCAACCCAATTGATACCCAAACGAGAATAGACCGTACACCATAATTTGTAGACAACACAGATATGTAACAGTAGACGACAGCAGATTTCTTCTGCCTGCTTGCATAGGTAGCAAGCATTTACCAAAATTAAACTCCTTTTGTGTTTATCAATGATCAAAATGCACTCTCAGCAAGCTTCGCAAGCGAAAGAAAAAAAGAAATTCTTGGGGGTACCTTGATCTTCCAAATCAATTTGTAAGGGAAATGTGGCAATACATCTGCCCTATGAAACTGGAAAAGAGGAACCTGCCTGAGCTTTTTGTACCAAGATTTGACAGAGAAGGAATCATTTTTGTTGTCTCCATTCAGGTTTGTCCTCGTTGTTGCCTAATCTTATCTCAGCCAACACTCTCAGCAACTTCATATTCAGTAATCTCCCAATCATTTAAGTTTCTAGTTAACACCACCTGCACAAAACCCCTCACCATCTCGGCTGCTTCTGAAACAATCTTGCACCCGGATATTTTTATTCACAACAATATCAAAAACAGCAGGAAATCTGTCTCTTAGAGGGCCCCCCTCCAACCAATCATCTTCCCAGAATCTGATCCTGTCCCCACACCCCACTTTCCATCTAATCTGTTTAACAAAATTATCTTTTCCATCCCATATGCTTTTCCATAGGCCTTTTCTGTGGAATCTAAGATTACCACATGACACCCAACTCATCTCATCGAGACCATACTTTGAGGCCATAGCTCTCCTCCACAAAGCGTGCTCCTCAGTGATGTAACGACATAACCATTTCCCTTGAAAAGCGTTATTCATCTCCAGCAAAGACCGAATCCCAAGGCCGCCACTCTGCATGGGATTTTTCAACTCATTCCATGCAACTAGGTGAAATTTCCTGTCATCGTCCTTATCCCCCCACAGAAAATTACTTTGAAAAGACTCCAATCTCTTAGCCACACTACATGGGATAGACAATAAGGAGAGATAACAGATTGGCAAGTTGTTCAAGGTGCTCTTCACAAGTGTGAGTCGGCTCCCTTTTGATAGAAGGCTCTTCTTCCAACCAGCTAACCTTCTTTTAACTCTACTGATCATCGGCTCCCAAGTCCCACGATCCTTGTAGTTTGCCCCCAACAGTAGGTCAAGGTATTTTAACGGAAGAGTAACTTTTTGTAGCCCAGAGCCTCAGCCAGTTGTACTTTATCCTCCGCTTCACCTAACCCAACAAATTTTGACTTGGACAAATTAATCTTTAAACCAGAGACCGCTTGAAACCCCATTAAAATACATCTAATGTTCATTAGAGTTTTCAGATCAAGTTCACAGAATAACAGAACATCATCTGCAAAAAATAAGTGTGCTATCTCTTCCCTGCGGTTACCTTTTCCCACCAACAGCCCCTGAAACAGATTGTGCCCTCTGACCTTTGCGATCATTCTGTTAAGGGCTTCCATCATTATGATGAACAGGAAAGGCAAAAGGGGATCACCTTGTCTCAAACCCTTTGAGGGATGAAAAAACTTGAATGGGCCACTGTTGAGGATGACTGCATATGACACCGATTTAATGCAAGTGATGATCCATTTCCTCGATCTAATACTGAATCCGAGCCTCATGAGCGTATAATCAATAACGGCCCAATTAACATTTTCGTAGGCTTTCTCCATATCTAATTTACACAAAACTCCATCTTTTTTCTTATTGATCATCTCATCCACTAACTCATTAGCTATAAGTGCAGCATTCAAAATTTGTTTGCCACCAACAAAGTCATGTTGAGGACCCGAACGATGCTATCCAGTACCCTTGTCATCCTTCTAGCAAGAACTTTAGCATTAATTTATACACACTCCCAACCAGACTAATAGGTCTGTAGTATTTGACTGTGTTGGTCCCACTAACCTTCGGGATGAGAACAATGAAAGTGGAGTTAAGTGCTTTAATGAATTTTCCAGTTCTGTTGAAGTCATCAAACATTTTCATCACATCAGATTTAATCACCGGCCAGAAATAATGGGAAAACTGTCTGGCCCAGGT